CAGAAATATGATTTGTGGGGGAAGGGGGATATATATATATATATATATATATATATATATATATAACAAATATATATATTGTACCTGGACATGTGTGACAACGTTGACTGATGTCCAGATGTGTGGTCTGGTTACTGGTGAGACTGTTGAGCACACAGCTGTAGCTGTTTTTATCCTGATATTCCACCTCCAGAGGTAGAGAGAGACTGATGCTGAGATCAGACACACTGATGCAAACACAGCAGCACACATTTGGACACCGATGATCCTGGTGATGATGAAGAATTTTGTGGACAGTAAATGGTGATGACAGGTATCGGCAGATGAGCTGCGAAAAAAATGCAATTAACAGATGGTTATTTTATTTGGGCAACCAAACAGTTGCTGGTAGCCATTGACTGCTGGGGAGCAGCAACTGTTTGGTTACCAACATTCATCATAAAGGGTGAGTAAATGCTGACAGAATTTTCATTTTTGGGTGAAATATCCCTTTAAGATGTGGCGGTGGTTTCAGAGAAATTACAGAATTCTTCTGTGATGATGTACATACAATGTTGGATATTAGAGAAATGAAATCAACTAGTGAGAGTGTGAAAAGTGTTTAACTCACCATAGACAGTAAGATTGAATGTGTTGAGCGGTGTCTCTGTGCTGTTGCTGGTTACTTTATAAACTCCAGAGTCTGTGGTTCTGGTGTTTGTGATGCTCAGAGATCCAGTCTGATGATCCAGTTTCAGTCTGTCTCTGAATCTCCCATCAGCACTATCATTATGAAAAATGCTCATATTGTTCTGTTTGCTGATTTTGGCTATGAGAATGTCTTCAGGTCCAAACCTCCACTCAACCATATCATTCATCTGTATATCAGTACCATCAATGTTTAAAGTGACAGAATCTCCCTCCATCACTGACACTGACTTCACTTCATCAACACCAAACACACCTGAAGAACATGCAGAAACATTTAGTCAGAAACAGGGTTTTAGAAACCATGGATAGCTATTAACCATGTCAGAACAAAACTATTGTTTTTTTTTACTTTGCACTAATTCTAATGGATAATCCAATAATTCACTATAATTTTAATGCTGAAAGGGAAAACACAGAAGTACTTGAGTATTTTAGTCTGGCAAAACTATTAAATAAATATTAGATGCAAAACGAATGATGGAAATAATGACTATCAGAACATTGTGTACATGGATAATTGATCAAATAAACACAACTGTTGATTTTGAAATGTTGAAATGAACACAAATGCTCTTTTGTTGATTTTGATTGCTTCTATTGTGCTAATTTGTAAGTCGCTTTGGATAAAAGCTTCTAAATGACTAAATGTAAATGTAAATGAAGCCATAAAAGTACTTACCAGTCAGACTCCACAAGCACAAACAGAAGAAAATAAATGCCTCAAACATTTTCCAGCAGTTTTCCAAAGTTCCACAAGAGATATCATAGAACACTGCTGACGTTTTAATGTTTCATAAAGCTGTCTGTTTGTAGTGAAGTGGTTTAGTGAAGCTCTGCAGTAAGTGTGAATAAACTCTTCCAGTAGCTCCACCCTTCAAAATGACACTGATCTACAGAAAGAAGAACAGAGAATGTAAACCCTTTCTTAACCCTCTATGGCAGTGGTCGCCAACCCGTCGATCGTGATCAATTTGCTTAAAAATCAGTATCAGAATCAGCCAATTTGCTAGTTAAAAAAAAGAAAGAAAGAAAAGAAAATCTGAATTCTGAATCAGCTATGATCGGCGCATCACTAATTAAAATACTAAGTAAAAGGCCTCAAATTTGAAGTACAATCTGGGATGTCTTTTTCTATCAATTCTTCAATAGGTAGATCTCGTCTTTCATAAAGGCCGAGGTCAGGGATCTTGGGCCTAAAAAGGTTGGTGACCACTGCTCTATGGCATGGCGTTGCCCTCAGACAACAAACTACTTTTTTGGACCTGTTGGGTCAAAAATAATCAAAGATGTCTGCTTTCCAGTCCCAAACCTATCTTGAGTAACAAAAGGGCCATTTGGCATTCTTGAAGGCACAGAGGTGCTGATAGTGATCAATGCCTGTAGGCCAAGATGCGTATTCACTGGGGGTCTACTAATTGTCACACCTTTTGCCCAGTGGGTGAAGCTGTAATCTGCTGATTGGTCAGTTTGAATGTCTCACAGTTGGTTTTTAGTCACATGGTCAAGGAAGGGATAAAAGAAGATAACTGTAGCTCAGTGTCTTTTCTTTGCTGGAGCTCTTCTTGGGGCTCTGCTCTCTCTCCCTCTTTCATTCTTTCTTTCTCTCTCTCTCTCTCTCAGGTAACATTTTACATACATGCTGGGGACAATTAACTGTTTATGTTTTATCATCCTTCATCTATTTTGTAACTAATTCAAGTGTAACCATAACGAAATATTGTTATTAAACCATTTCAATTATAAATTAGGTGCTAACTAGTCTTGATTCATCATTAACTTTGAAGTGCTACCTATTGCAATATAGTCACGCAATAGCAACGCTCTCCCACGTGTTTAGCTATTCTAACTGTGCTTATTTCCGTCATTGGTATAAGTGGCAGTGGGTGGTATTAGACAAGAAATGTACAGTTTTATGCCATCATGCTGATAATGTTTCTTTAGTCCTTCGGCAATCCTGCAGCCTGAACCACTGTAGGGAAACCACCCTTACAGGCCTCTCACCGCCCATTTAATTTTTTGAATAAAAAAATATATATATACTGTATATACATATATAATGTCACCTCACCCGACATGGCTGTTCAGTGAAATGAGGGTCTAAAGTGGGTGTGGCCTTTTTGGGGGGGGGGGGGGGGGG